AAACAAAAAAGAAAAAAAAGCCCTCAAGACCATTCAGAATCTTTTTCTTTCCCCACCTTCAAACTGATGTTTTTAACACTTTGTACTTTGACAGGCTCCTGTGGCTCATGCCTGTAATCTTAGCTACTCAAGAGGCTGAGAACTTTAGATTATGGTTCAAAGCCAACCTGGGTAATGAAGTCTATGAGACTCATCACAAATCAGCAAAAAGTCTTAAGTGTGGTTGTGGCTCATATGGTAGAATGCCAGCTGTGAACTCAAAGGCTAAAAGACACTCCCAGTCTTTGAGTTCAGATCCACAGTACTGGCACACATACAAACACACACACACACACACACACACACACCAACATCAACAAAAAACCCCATCACTTTAAGAGACAACAACAAAAACATCCCACTAAATAAACCTTTCACACTTGACAAAATGAGAAAAGCAAAATTCCTTTTGTTGAAAGTAATGAAACTTTCCTTTTCCACAAGGATTTATGTAGTCCCTATAAAAAAAAATCAAACGATTGGAATCTGATTACCTTGAAATATCCATATCGGTACGCACCATTTCGGAGTTTTTATTCTCAGAAAAGAGACCGCACAGAAAGGATAAAACAATGGTATGGAAAGTTACCATCCTCTCCAACTGGACTCTTTATTGCAAACTTATTGCTTCCATGTGTTTGAAAAAAAAAAAAAAGGAAAAACCCTCAAACCTTAAAGCCAACCACAATCCTTAAAATTTTTGGCGCTTTTATTAAGCATTAACTCCAGAGAAATAAATTAATTAATCATTTTTATGATCTCACAATTCTATCACTCTGAAGACATCATATGGAAATGGGTAGGAAATTAATAATGACTATGGGTTTCTAAGATGTTTGAAGACACCATGCTATTTAAAGTTGCTAAAATACCACAGGTCAGTTGGCCTTGGCATTTTTATAAAGCCTATGTTGAAAACTGCATTCTAGAACACATAAATCAACTTGGGGAAAGTTTAAATGAATGATATTAGTGATATTTTGGTACAGCCAAAAAAGGGCATTTTCTTTGAAAATCTGTGGTTACGTAAAGCTGAAAAAGGCAAGCATGACAAAAACTTATTTTATGTAGTTTTCTGAAACAACGAAATCTTTGCTTAACCTACCCCTTGAAAAAGTCAATCAATGAACTGCTTAACCTCTATTGTCTCTGTACCTTTCTACAAAATCAGGAGGCAAAATGTAGGACTCGAAGAAGCACTTCAAGTTTCGGTATGTGTCAAATAAAAGAGAAGGAAGAAAAAGCTCTCTCGCCCCAAAGTGAGAACAGATGGGAATGTAAAATTCGATGGAAGGAGACAGGGAAGCTCTGGACGATGGAGCAAGAAACCTTTCCCAGAGGGGGCCGCGTGCGGCAGACCCCGGCTTGTTCTGCTGCCCAGCTAACCTCCACATGAAATGCAAGCAAAATGCAAAGCAGTGATGATTAAATGCTAGAGATTTAAATTTTGCCATCACTGATTTATTAAATAGTAATTTTAATAGGAATTAGTGGGAAATATTTATAATTATATGTGCGGTAATCAACATAACTTAGTCAAGTAAGTTTTATGGACGTTGAATTACTCCATGCTATGTTAATTTAAATGGTTTTAAATAAAATAAATGACTGAAAAACGAGCCATAGGCATAAAGAGACTTAGGATGTGGACAAGGCACTCCTTTTCTGATGAGAGAGCCATCTGCTGTAAATTAAAGAGCTATGTAAATAAATTATGACTACATTTTACATTCATTCTTTTCATTTTTTATCTATATAACTAAAAATAATATTTCAATAGTAATTCCGAAAACATAGTAACACTGTAAAATATGTTCCTCTATTTCATATTTAATTCGAAGTAGCTTTAAACCCAAAAACTGTCGATGTCAAAAACTTTAAAGGATGTTTATTGCCTCACGTACTAGCTTCTCTTCAATACTATTTAATTTATAATTTAAAATTTGAGTAAAACAGCATATTTCAGATTTTCAGGGATTCTCAGATTTTAATGTGCCAAACCCCTGTAATTCTACTATTGGTAATCATTCTTGTAAAATATTATGAGTAATTTTGTGGTATTAACCATCGGATTATTGAAAGCTATCAACATCTTCAATAAAAACAGGTTTTGTAAACCAATTCCTTTTTAATCATTCTCACATAAAATTTAGACTCAATTGCTGCAACAATGAGAATAACTCAACTCTTTCCCTAATCGTACCCGAATTTATAGATCATTCTTATTCATAACTTCAAACTTCTTTTCCTAGACAACAACAAAAATGTCCTTCATGTATGTTTTCCTGCCACCCCAAAGAGCTTGCTTTCAGTATCTTAATGCCCCTTTATCATTTTTGTTTTTATTCATACAACATATACATGACAAAAAAATAGAGAAATATGAAAGTGACTGCATGGCATATTCAAGTAGTTTCAGTTTCAACAACTCAGGCTCTTGGTAACTTGACACAAGTTTCATTACAAATACAGAAGCAACGCCATAAGATCGGGCTACATGAAGCCCACTTCACTTATTTGAATATGTGCACAAAGCAATTATTGAAAAGCAGATTTTGTTATCCAGAGTGCTCAAAATTATACACAAACTTTTTACTGAAAAAAAAGAGGAATTTCAACTTCCTGGCTTTTATTCTGTATCTCCCTTATCAAGAGATAAAACGGACAAAAGGTAAATATTTGGGGATTTTTGTGCTCATTAAATTGTTCTATAATTATTTTCTGCCCACTGTGCAAATAAACACAAACTAAGAAAACACCACAAGCCTTTTTCAAATTCATCCTCACATTAATAAATCTAAATTCTAATTACCCAAAGTATTAAATGCAGATTCCTCCTACAAATTTAATAGTATTGTGGTTCACTGGCTGAATAATTTTGCCATGAAAAACAACTTTATAATGAATCCAAAATTTCTATCTTCCTCTGGAGAGAGAGCAGACTTTGAATAAAGAATGCATATGTATATGCTTAACGTTCGCTCAAGATTCCTGGATGGGTTCCACGTATGTGTGACTCTGAGCAGGCTAAGTTGAGCACTGTGGATGACAAATGCTCATCAGTGAAAGGAATACAGTTGATTTAGACCAGTATTCTCAGATGCCTGAAAACATCTGAATGCATTCTTGAACGTCTTTGTTTTGGAGTTTTCATATTACAATATACACATGATTATATGGTAGATAAATCTCTGTGACATCTTTTATCATCAATTGTGACAGAGCTGCAGGATCTGAGTTTGATACATTTATGTTTTTTTGGTGTTGGCTAGTTATAATGCCTGTGTTTAACTCTTAACACAGTGTTAAGAATATGCTTGGGATATGAGGCAGATCGTTCCATAAACACAAATGCACATAGTATGCAAAACCAAGACACGCGATCATCTTCCTAAGTCTTTTCCAGTTTGAAAACTAAGTCAGACTCTACTGCAGAAAACTGATGGAGAAAAATAGTTTTAAGCATATTTAGAGAAAATAAGCTGCATAGGGAGTATGATTTCTAATTCTACTTACATTCTAATAGAAATCTTTTTACAAGTAGACCAAATGAAAGTTTCGATAAAACAAAACACAGCAAGGCTGTCATGTCTATGAGCAGTAACCATTACAGCTTCCAATGGTTCAGTACACTATGTATTAACCAGGATTCAGAAAAGCTGGTTTCTTTTCCCAGCTTTGCCACTGGCTTGGAATAATATCTTAGCATTCGAGTGACTCATTCTTTGAGCCCTCATTTTCTACAGTTTCAGTACACTAATTATTCTACTCAATCAATAAAATATATAATAAATACCTGATACACCATACTTAAAAGATACTAATTGAATAAATAGAAAAACAACTTATCTATAAAACACCAGTGACTGCTTTCCTTGTCACAGTATAATTTTCAATCAAATACAGTTATGGAGTTTTTTAACATTATGGTTAAATATGCTTCATATTAATTTTAAAATGTAGGTAATTTTGTTCGTTAGTCCTTTAAAATATTCTACAAGTAAAAATCCTTTATTTTTAAAATTTTAAAGATATTTTTGTGACTACTTATCAGAATTTCATTCTTATGATTATATATTACAGTTTTGTATAACAAATTATTAAGTCACATTTTCAAAGGAAATTCTCTACTTACATGTACCTTAGTAATTAAAGCACCTGACACCAGTAAAGAGAAATATAGGGTTTGCAAAGTGAGAAGATAGTCTGAACTTAAAACACGTGTCCTTTTCATGTAAAACACGTTTTAATTTAAATGTTAGTGAAAAAAACTTAAAATGATGTATGTCACACTGTGCATTTCAGAATCAACCCATTTTATACCAGTGTAAGTTTATTTTTAAGTTTGTTAAAAGAGAACCATCAAGTTAAAATTAACACAGGAATAAACGTTTAAAAAAATCCAAAAAGAAGTATTCAGGAATGTTTTCTTGATCTGCAGTATCTTGAAAACAATTTTTAAAAGGAAAATTTTAAGTTATTTCTACACCAGTGCCAATAACATCATAAATTTGCTTATTAAGTAACTTAATGAATTATTTTAAAATTTTCTTATTGGAATGAAATGATTGACTTCTGAAAAGCTTCACTTTTAGAGAGTAAAGGCTATAAAAATCTAACATCCATTTCATAATCAGCTCAACTTCATAACAACCTTCACAGTTTTTTTTAAAAGAATTAGATTGAAACTTAAGAATGTTTTCTTTTCCTGTTAACCCAGCAGATATAACTGAAGTCATTCATTTAGTAAACTCATTTCAAACTTTCTTCTTCCCATAAGGGATTTTTCCACTCGTATTAATTTAAGACTTCTTTTCTACAAGATAGAATTACATGATTATGTGAAGGAGAGCACAGTGTACATGGAAAGTGCGCATGTGCAGAACGTACATTGGTCCACTGTGGCAAGTCACTTTTTCCCTCTGGAACAGCCGCCCTGACACACACGCAGGTCACCCTACCTGGACGGTGGAGCTGATCTCGGAGGCAAAGCCGCCTGTCAGAGGAGCCTCGTGACTGATAAGGAGTCGCCCCGTTTTGACCACAGACTGAAAAAGAAACAGGCATTCTGATATTGAACAGAACATGCATCTCAAGCATACGCTGACACTTCCATTCAATAATAAAAAGAAATTATTTAAATGCAATGAATCACACAAAGCCATTGTGCTTATGCTTAATGAATTCACAACTCCCTCTCAGCCAGCAATTTTCTGAATTTAATACTATGAAAAAATGTTCAATGTAGCTTATCATCCCAGTACAAAACAGATTTATAATTCTATGTGGCATGTCATTAAATGTGCAACTATTTTAGCAGGTATTGGGGGGGCTTTATGAATGAAATTAGTTTCATTATTTCATACCTCAAAATCAATTTTTTTCTTCATATTATTACTTTAGGAGTGAAAGTACTTTTTCGTTGGGGATAGATTTCCATATAGATAGCAATCGTTTTGGGAACTAGAGTTTGCAGAAAAGGAAAAGACAAAAAGAGTATGAAAAACCTGTAACAAAGCAAAAAGGTCGAACTAGCAGATACTCAAAGAAGCTTCCAGAGAAAAGTAAGAAATGAGACTGGAAAGGTGGCTCAGTGGTAGAGTGCTTGCCTAGCATGCATGAAGCCCCTGGGTTCGATTCCTCAGCACCACATACACAGAAAAAGCCAGAAGTGGCGCTGTGGCTCAAGTGGTGGCCTTAAGCAAAAGAAGCTCAGGGACAGTACCCGTGCCTTGAGTTCTGAATTCATGCCCCAGGACTGGCAAAAAAAAAAAATACCAAAAGGAAAAGTAAGAAATGACCGTGGAAGCAGAAGGGGCTGACTTTATTCAAGGTGAGCAAGAATCTGCTAAGTGGCCATGGCTCCATTTTAATGAAGAAGCCATCACAGTAAGTATATATGCATATGACTACTCACACTGTGCATAATTTGCTAAGTACAATCCAAAGGTAGACCTACGGTATAACAGAGGACGTCATCTGGGTTGGGAGGAAGAACTATTAAAATCAACAGCAAATTACAGCTTGTAATGTACTGCACTGTATTACTATAGGGAAGTGGCCATTTCTTCCCTACGTTTGTAACAATGTGTGATCACCTCTTTTAAAGTCTATGTTACTATTTTAGGAATATAAAATTAAATCTTCCAAGAAAAAGTAAGCATCAAGAAGAAAAGATTTAGTTCATTCTAAGCAGTTAAGACTTCAGAATTTAAAAGGTATGGTAGCCACTGGAGCCAGCAGATGTTAAACCCAAGATATGGCCAGAAGCCATACAAAAATAAGTTACTACATTTACCAAGAAAATAGTGATGGAAGAACATAAAATTTTATGAACACCTTAATGAATTCCATCATAGCTCCAGTGAAACATTACTACAGGTATTTTATATTTTATGACTGTTCATTCATTGTGCCATTTCCATAAATGAAATTTCAATGTATTTAGAAATATAAATAACAAAAACATTACACAAGCAACAAGAGACACATATGTTTTAGTGTTCTCTAAAAGACATTCTTTTAGCCAAGTGTCTGGGGCTCTTGCTTGTAATCCTAACTATTCAGGAGGCTGAGATCTGAGGATCATGGTTCAAAGCACCAGGCAAAACAGAAAAATCCATGAGACCCTTACCTCCAATTAACCAGCAAAAAGCCAGCCTTGAGCAAAATAGCTAAGGGAGAGAGTGATGACCTTGAGTTCAAGCACCCAAAAAAAAAATCTTCCTTTAAGGTGAGGCAATTTAAATAATAAGACCTCTCTTAAAGTTCTTAAACCCAGAACTCTGCCAACATGGAATAGATGAGGAGTAACTGAGCCTCCATCCATCTCAGACAGATGGTGCATCTTAAAGTTCTAGCCCATAAAAATAAGAAACTTGTCTCAAAATGTTGCTCTTAGACTAAAACTCTACTCTAGAGTTTAGCCCTGTGGAGTGAACAAAAGCCTCCTAATCTGGGGCTCCAGAAACACCATAACTACGAGAAAGAGAACCACAGGCTCTCTGTGCACCGTTGGGCAGGGAACTGCTAAACATACAAATGTACTTCAATACCATTGAGTGCAGGATGTTTGAGTCCACTGCTAAAATAAGTTGCAGCACACTGCACTGTCATTTTTGTGGGGGGTGGGAGGGGAACCACAGCAGTAGGTTCCCCAAGAAACACATCTCACCATGTAGGTGGAGCCAATCAATACAGGTATCAAAGAAAGTAGAGTTCTTCAACATTTGTCTGTGCCATACTTAAAATTGCCATTCTCAAATGAGTTGTACTGACAGACACAGAAGGAGTTCTACCAATTTCTAACGCACAAGGAGCTAGAAGGGACATACAATAGGAAGTAATTGCAGTGGGTTTGTGGAAACTGACACTTCACACAGCAAGTAAGAGGGATGTGGGAAGAGAAGAGTCAGGGTAATAATCGTAAAGACCTCACCATCACCCAGAACACAGCGTGCATTCTCTCAGCCGAGGATTTTATGCTCATTGTTTCTTTCAACTCAGAAAGCACTTAAGTTTCATTTTTGATTCTTAAAAAAATCATCTCTTATTTCCAAAAAGTATAAAATGCATAACATTGATATTTTAGTCAAGCTCTCAAAGAATTTTCATATATTGAACTGTCTCTAAATACAACTCAACACTGTTGAAACATAAAATTCTATTTAATATATGCTTTTTATTCCCAATTTTAATTTACTAAAAGTCCTTAAGATTACTTCTATACCATTTTAGAAATAAACACTTTATTAATACTGTGATGAGTTCATTAAAGTTTATAAAACTAAAGGACATTACTCTTTCTATTATTTGTATTTCAATTTAAGAGATCATGAATAAATATATAAATTATATTATAAATCTATTATATTATAAAACAACACATATCATATTGCTATATTTATAATATTTATTCATATTATAAATATTTCAAATACAATATAATATATACTATATATTAGTGCCTGCACTGGGGCTTGAACTCAGGGCCTAGGCACTGTCCTTGAGCCCTCACTCAAAGTTCATGCTCTAGTACTTTAGCCACATCTACACTCATAGCTTTTTGCTGGTGAACTGGAGTTGAGAGTCTCAAGGATTTTCCTCCTCAGGCTGGCTTTGAACCACAATTCTCAGATCTCAGCCATCCTGAGTAGCTAGGATTAGAGGGCTAAGACACCAGCACTTGACTAAATTATATAAGGTCAACGTAGACAAAATGACATATATAACTATTGGGAAATCTCCCTAACCAACTTGTAACATTTGGGTGAAATTTAATAAATGTTAAAATGGTGGTTTTCAATGGGTAGGGCCATTAAACTTTTGAAAATAAATAACTACACAGATACAAATATTCATACTACTTAAAAGTTTGTTTTCTTGGGAAGAAATGTTTTCAAGTTGTCAAGTTTCCCTCTGAGATAAATGTATTTCTCCACTTGAAAAAAATGTTTAAGAGTTTAAACAATTTTCAATGTGAAGCGGAACCAATCAAAGCCAGGAAAGATCACATAAGGCCGGATTTTCCAAGATCTCTGCTCTTCCAACTTTTGCTTCTGGCTTCTGTTCCACGGTGCATGAAGCGCCGAGGAGTTCCAGGTGACAGACGGCACCAGGGACAGTGAAGCCAATCACAGAACAGCTATAAAGAACTGTTCTGTGTGTCATCTACCCTCAACCAGAAAACAAAACAAAACTTTGTTCTTCTCAAGGGTTTAAAAGTCCCGTCAAATAAGCTTTCAAACAGCCCCAAAATGGCTAGGAGTTTTCACACTTCCAACACATTCTTTCCCAAGCATATCCGTGAAATCCCAACAGCAAACACATCACATAGCAAGCAACACCAATACCACAGCAGCCAAACTCAGATGGACCTGTGATGCCAATCTGCTCCTCGTTTGGAGATTCATTCTATGACTTTTCCCGCTGTCCACTTTCTGCACACACATCTTTATTACCGTGATAAATGAAAGCTGTCTCTTCAGAATACCTAGCACAATGCTTTGAACCTGACACTTCAGAAACATTAACAGATACAAATCTATTATCACAAATGCATATCACCCTTTTTATTTCTTTACGCTATTATAAAATCCATGTTTTAAGGTATGAAAGTGTGTACTTCAACACATCCTAGAATAATTGTTCAGAATAATTAGAATAATTTAGTTATGACAGAAGACTTAAAGTTGATACTTTAACATAGCTTTTCAAGTTTAATTTGAATCGATCATTAACAGATTCACAGACATCAAACTTGTACATACCTACTGGTACCCTGTGATCGTTCACCATGTGAGCATAGATGGGGCTTAACAAGAAGGCACCTGGAGTGATGCAGAGCTGTTGAGTTACACACTTTGTGCAAATGATCGCACAGACTTTGGCTGCCCAAATGTCGAACATATGTTTTAGTGAATATAGCCTTTAAAGGTTTTAACACAATCCAACCAGGAAAACTATTAAGCTGTCATTCCAGGGGAAAATGATACAGACAGGGAGACCATTTAGCTTGCATGTGCCTGGTAGGGCATTCAGAAAGTAATATATGTAATGTTTCTTACCATTTCTAGCACAATTTTCTCCCTTCAGACAAATGAATCTTACCAACAAAATTTAGCAACTATTTTCACTGCTGAGAAGATATGGTAAGCTAGACCATTGATAGCACTGTTAACAACAGCTATCTAAATAAAAAGCTAATGAAAGAGCAAATAAAACAGCAAAGCTGGCCTTCATTAGCTACTCAAATACATTAAACATTTACAACTAAGGGTTAAATCCCAACACACGTTTTATTAGCTAATGGAATATATTAATCCATAATTATGCAATCTAGAATCATTAAAGACAGGGTATCGATCAACTTCAGATGTCAATGCAAATAGATTAAAAAAGTATTTTAAAATATTTTCATGTTTGGGTTGGCCAAATATCTTTGATAAGTTAGCCAGAAAACCCTGACAATTATTCCCAGGCTGACAAATGCATTAATCCATGGCTAATAACCACTATGAATGGGCAGGACTCCACATCTGACTGGCCA